GAATATGTTCGCTTTTATTATCCTGCTGCCTGCAGTTTGGATTATTTAGATGAAAAACACCTACCAGCTGCCGCGGTGAACCGCGAGGAGGCGACCAGGCCAGAGGCTGCTGTTGAATGGGATTCCTACTGACAGCGCAGCGCTGGTATGTTGGGGTCTGAGCGCCTCCGACAGAACTAATATTGGAAGGCAGGATTATAATCTGGATGAACTGACTGCATTGATTAAGTTTTCAGGTGTATTTTCTCACTTAAGAACATATTAAAACTACTTTATTCCCACTGATCACAGCAAATATAGCTGCAAGGCAAAGAAAGGATAGTGTAGCTCCGCCCAACGCGCGTCAGACACACATTTGCAGCCAGAGCAGCAAAGCTGCTTCAGCCGCGCGTCAGAACTAACTGCTACAAGCAGCAAAAAGGAAGCAGCAGACGCGATTTTGCTGCTCTTGCTGCGTCCGGTGTGAACACAGCATTACGCTTCGCTACGACTACCAAGAACTTAAAATCTAATGTCTACTGTAGATTTTGGCATATATTTAAATTACATAAATAACATAAAAATGATATTATGCTATTAATATCATATATCAATCACTGGAAGAATTGTTTTGTAAGATCCTTTTAGCAGCAGGGTGAATAATTGTTTATTTATTTTAAATAAAAATTAAGATTAGATCATTTAATCCTGTTTTTATTCTTATCTTTGGGTTGACACCATAAAAGTGTGCCGAACCTATTGATACATCGGTCGGCCAATATATTAGCTTTTTTTTTTTTTTCTACTGCTGGCATCAGCCAATATGTCGATCTCTGCTTCCTGTTGTTGATGTTCCGTTTAATTTGTTAATACATTTTTATTTTTTTGGTTTCAATTCAAAGTTGTTTAACATTTGTTATCATCTTTTCTTTTTTATTTCGTAAATGAAGGAAGAAAAAGCAACAAAGGCTAAAAGAAGCGGCTCAAAATAAATTGGCAGCCAATCAGGAATCAGATAAATTTATGCCAAATGAATCAGCAAGGGCTTTAAAAACCCTGCATCTGTTCCTCTTTATTTATACTTGAACACGAACTTAAACTTATTCCATGATGATAAATGAAAACAGAATCAGTCTTAAAAAAGGAGAAGCGCCACAAGAAGTTTTCAAATCAGATAAATAACGTTATTAGGGTTGAAATAATTAATCGGATTAATCGATTATTGATATAAATCATCAGCTAATTTAATAAGCAGTTAATTGTTAAATGGAGTATAGAGACTCTAAAACGTGCCTTTAGCTGACAGAGCGAACCCGATTATAGCAGTAATTATATCAAAAATGTAAAAATTTATAACATTTTTTTTTTTTGTTTAAAAATTTATTTTCACTTGGTTTAATTTCCTAAAAAAATCTTCTGTAAGGAATCTTGGCATATCCAATAATTGATTAATCAAAACAGTAATTGACAATTTGCTAAATAATCGTTAGTTGCAGCCCTAAATGTTATTGTTTTAATCCAAACCCCCGCAGGGGAACTCTGCATGTATGCATCAGGTGTAAAGATTACTTTCTTGTTGGAAGAGGAATCCTTTGAGCCAGAGAAGTCCCAGCGTGGTGAGGACAGATGCTCCGATGATTTGCCACGGCTCCAGGTGGGAGCAGTGCGAGTTAATCTGCCTCCGGCCTTCCTCCAGGTACAGCAGCAGCATCTCCTTATACACCTCCAAGGCACTCTGCACATACAAATAAAACACACATCTAGTGTGAAACGGAGGCAGCGGTGGTTCAGCAAAAAGTTACGACACATTAACCCAAACTTTCAGCACAATTACTCACATTGGAGGACATTTTTAGACCTACTAGAACCTGTTCTGTCTCACACTGATGCGATCAGTCAGCTGCAGGAAGAAATAACAAGCGGTGAAAGTGAGGGGGAAGCTTTCACCTCACTGGACGACTCCTCTGCCATCAGGCTCCTCCCACTAACCAAACCCTAAACACATCCAGCAGTCGGCTGTGTCACGGTGAAGATCTCATTCCCGTCATCAGACACACAGGAAGTTCACTCAGCTGTAAATTATACTGCATTTCCTCTACTAGACCTGATCAAAAAGAAGTGTTTTACTATTTGTCATCAGCCTGAGCACCAGAGAGGATCTGGATACACTAATAATCAGAGTAACATGACAGTAAGATAACAAACAATTCAATTGCATAAGCCTGGTGAAAGTTATCTCTGTATTATCTCTCCGCAGAGGTGTGTTTACAACCCAACAGCTCCAGATTTGATAGGAAGGACCCTCCACATCAGCTGCAATCAGATGGACAGAGCTTAAGGTTCACAAATACGCTATCATTAGAGCTCGTTATCTGCGTGACCTCAACCATACATCACATACTGCACCTTGTGAAAGTATGCATAACCTTTGCATTTATTCAGGTTAGAAGCAGAAACAGCAAAGCTTTGCATTGGAGCTTATGTTACATGGCAATGAATAAAATATGCATAAGTGAACTGGAGGTAAAGCAGAGCTGTTTTTTAGATATGGAGATAAAAGATGAGTCAATATCGTTAATATAGAGATGGTCTAAGATAATTAAGACTTTATGAATGCTAGTGGGTTAATTTTCAGCCATAATCTTGTGTTTATCTCCAGCTGTTTGTTAGAAAATGTGCCTGTGTGACATTTGGCATAAAGCTTTAAGCCTGAGATGCTTTTTTATTATCATTTCTTTGAGGAAGGAAACACATTATGGAGATAAATATTGTATATTGCCCTACAGTTTGGGGGCACAAAGCCCGGATTGAAAGGAAATCTGCACATCTCACATGAATATTTGATCCCATGAGGCTCATTTTTTAAATATCTTCAAGCAGGTATTGAACATACTTTTCATTACGACCAGATTTCTATATTAAAATGTTAGGGTTTTTTCTCTCAATTTAATTGATTAATAAAATTAATGATTTTTATTAGTAAATTACTGATTATAATTTACAGAAAAACTGTTTTAACATATAAGTCAGTTTGTAATTAGTCGATATAATGTGTTTCACTTTAGTGAATTGAATTAATGGGATAAGCATCTTAATAATATTTGAAATTATTGGATATGGTTGTAAGATTAGATCATAATAGTACTTTGCAGATGATGTAACATTAAATTCTGGAAGTTGGTTATAGATGATGGGAAGATTGATAAGGCTACATACAAAGGAATCCTGGAGGAAACCAGTTAAAAGTAACAATTACCCCAAACTGCCATAAAATTGTTTTAATGAAAGCATCGTCATGTTCTAGAACGGCCTAGTCAAAGTGCAAAGCAACCAAACACATTTTATCACATAAAAACACAAAGATTAGTTGTTTTTTATGAGATAGGTCCAAGCATTAGAGAAGCTTTTAAAGGTGCAGGGGTCAAGTTTGTGTTCTGAAAAAGGCATAAAGCCTCAGGCGCTAATTGGTTTGTACAGATAAGGCTGAACATCAAGCTGAACCTCCTCTTAACCCTTTTGCAGGCGTCCCCAACCTCGGTCCTCAAGGCCCGCTGTCCTGCAGGTTTTAGAGGTTTCTCTGCTTTAGCACAGCTGATTATAATGATTGCAGTAGACCAAAAGCCTGTTAATCAGCTTTCAATTAAAATCAGATGTGCTCGAGCAAAGAAACCTCTAAAAGCTGCAGGACAGGGGGCCTCGAGGACTGAGGTTGGGGATGCCTGTTTTATAGGACAAGTTAGCGTTTTTGATCACATACATACCCCTTACAAATGGATCCCCCTCCCCCCATCCCTCAGTGAGGTCTAGAAGCACAAGATCTATATCCAGCCATTCAGCAAAGATGCTACATGGCTGTACATCTTATTTTGGCATTTGTAAATGTAAATTAAGTAGAAAAAAGTTAACAAGTCATGAAAAAAGTAAAAAGCTAGTTAAAAAGTTAAGTTAAAAAGTTATTAGCCTAGTTAACAAAGATATTTAGGTTTACAAACTAAAAAATGTGAGTGCCAGTATCAGCATTAATGCCTCTAAGGAGATGTTGGATCAAAAAAAAGTATTTCTTTCCCTCTCAGAGTGCTTTTAATTAATTTCTTATAGAAGCAATTTTGTTATTTTCCTTAAAGGAATAGTACACCCAAAACATGATTAGCCTTCATTTTCTGGCGCACTTTCATCTGGTTTGGTCTGCCGGCTTCCGTAGCATCGTGAATGTGCAGGCGCGCGCTTTCAGGAAATCCTATACACTACTGTTTATGCTCTAAAAACATTCTAAATGACTTCGTTTCGAGTAAATTCTGGATGCTACCCACT